CAGACCTTAGCATACTATACGGGTGTAGGGTTCAGGGTTTGGGGTTTAGGTTTTAGGGTGTAGGGTTTAGGGTTCAGGGTTTGGGGTGTAGGTTTTAGGGTTTAGTGCTTGGGGTGTAGGGTTTAGGGTTCAGGGGCTTCGGGAGTTTAGGAGTTAGGGCTTCGGGCGGAGTTTGCCGGGCTTTCCCAGGGTTTGACAGGTTTCAGGGTCGGGGTTTCTTTTGGTTTGGTGTTCTGGCTTCCTTCTGCTTGAAAATATTTATGGTTGATGGTGTTCTGGCTTTCCTTGCCGGGTGTCTATGTATGTATTAGAGCTGGGGCATAACTACGGCTTGTCTGGGGCTCCCGCACCGACAGCCTCGCTGTATTCCCGTGACGTCGTTGGAGCTGCTTGCGATAGTGATTTATGAGCCCTTTTCAGAGCCTACGGCTTGAAAACGGAGAGTAAATCCAAGCCCCCTTCGTACCCCGCCCCCATGCGTTTTCCATGGTACCTCTAGACTCGAGCTTTTCGCCGGACACTGTCAGGACAGAACGAGCAACGTACATCCTAATACCACTTGATGCCAAAACGCCTAAACCCCTGAAGCCCAAACCCTCCCTGAGAACCCAAAGCTCCAAACCCTACAGCCCAAACCCCCAAACTCTTGAACCCTCTCAAGCCTACAAAACCTCGTAAACACAACCCTTGTACAATCCCGTAGAACCCCTAAACAACTCCCTGTACAAAACTCTCTCAAAGCCCGCTGCCTCTTGAATTTTAAGGCTCAGGCATCGCGTAGCGTCAGCGCTTGTCGGGAGCCATCCGCGAAGGTTCCGAGCCTTTGCCAACAAGAAAACCGGTGGGGCTCAGGGCTTAAGGGCTTCAGGGCTTTAGGGTTTAGGGTTTAGGGGCTTTGGGTGTTAGGGTTTAGGGTTTAGGGGCTTTGGGTTTTAGGGTTTAGGGGCTTTGGGTTTAGGGTTTAGGGGCTTTAGTTTTTGGGGTTTTAGGGTTTAGGGGCTTTTGGGGTTTTGGAACTGAGGGTCGAGGGCTTCAGGGTCGGAAGGCTTTTTGCAGTGAAGGGGGCTGTAGGGCTTCATCCGGGGTTCTGTGCGGGGCTCCTTGCCCCTAAACCCTAAACCCTGAACCCTCAACCCCAAACCCTAAACCCTAAACTCTAAACCCTAAACCCTGAACCCTAAACCCTGAACCCTAAACCCTGGCCCCTCAACCCCAAAACCTGACCTCAACGAAGCTTCCTATGAGGGTCGGGGTATTGAGGAATAAGGGTTTTAACCCTCTGAAGAGTAGCTTCATATAAACCAACAAAAAGGAGATGATAAGGGGAGACGGGTTTATGATCGAGGGTTCAATTGAGGCTTCTATCAAGGTCTCTAGGGAGTCGAAAGGGCTAATCTTCTGCCTTAGAAAAGGATCCTTCTCTTAGGTTTAGGGCGCAGGTCTACAATGGTTTCGCAGGATCTCAGGGGCTAGGGGACTGCGCTTGGAGGTCAAGTCAGAATCGCGGCTGCATGTGATCATGTATATAAGAACTTCGCGGATATGCAGCTTGAAGCCTTGGAGGTTTAGTATCGCTCTTGAGGTTCTTACCAGGATTCCAAATACATTGTCAGGAATTAAGAGGTTTAAGATAAACACGGTCAGGAGCCAAGAAGAAACCTATTTAACGGTATAAACAAGGAGACCCTAGTAAATCCCAGAAGATGTAGCTTCTTGCGATTCAGAAAGGACGACCTAACCCCTGAACCCCCGGTTCTAGTCGTCTAGAGCTTCACTCTTTTCTTTCTGATGCCCTCCTGGATCTTGGGATTCAAGCGCAAAGGGAACCTTTCTGAGTATGTTGAAGGGGCCTGGGTGGGGGTGGGGTGGGGGTTGGGGTTCATACAGGGTTTAAGGTGGTGTTGAAGTCGAGCTTCGCAGCCGCTGGTTTGCTTTGCTACTTGTAGAAAACCAGAAACTTAACACTTGCTTCTAACCGTCAATCCCTTACATGACCCACCGACCGAAGTGCCAATGAAGTTCACATCGCGCGCAAGGCTCCGTCATATGGGAATGTGCTTCTCGCCTGTATGTATATATATATATACATACATACATAGACATACATATGCCCATAACGAATTCAACTATCAGTACTACCTGCCTCCTTACCCAACTACCTAGCATTGCAATCTATCGATCCATCTATCCATCTATCTATCTATCTATCTATCTATCTATCTCTCTATCTCTCTATCTCTGTATCTATCTCTCTCTCTCTCTATCTATCTCTCTCTCTCTTTCTCTATCTCTCTATCTCTCTATCTCTCCATCTCTCTATCTCTCTATCTACCTATCTACCCACCTGTCTATCTATCTATTTATCTATCTATCTCTCTCTGTCTACCTATCTATCTAGCTATCTATCTATCTACTACGGTTCTATGAGTTCTATGTTACTGTAAGATATAAGAGATTACCATGCAAGATACACCGCAAACTTAGTGCGCCCCAACTCGCTGGGCGCCCCGAGCAATCGCAAGTTGCATGGCCGATGCTTCTCGGGAACCTGGTCTTCTTTCCCCGACTTTGGAAGTCCCTACAGGGCTCCCTTAAGGGTAGCAGAGGGTTCTATAATAGGGCCCCCTTTTAAGGGGCAGTAGAATGTAGGGGCCTCGATAATTAGAGTGGGTTTTGGGCGTTCCTTACTATAGTTATAGTAGAATATACCCCAAACCCTATTCGGAACAGGGTTCCATAATGGGCTCCCCTTTAAGGGTTCTATGTTTAGGGGCTCCCTCTGAAGCGAGATCCGGATTCTGCGAATCGGAGTGCATCCTACTGAAACTTTAGCCCCAAAACATCAAAAAAACTCGGAACACTAGGGTAGTTCTCTAAATTAGGGTCCCTTGTAGCGTCCTTTTTATAAGGGTGCCGTGCTATATTGGGCTCCTAAAAGGCCCCCGAAAGCCTGAAAATCCTGAACTCCCAAGCATGGACTCCTGCGCGTGAGTGACTCGTGACAGCAAGCTCCAAAAGTATGAACTTTTCTTACCAAAACCCGAGTGCAACTCGTCAGGCCTGATCCCATAAACCCCTATAGAACCCCTTATTGTGGAATACATTCAGGAACCTTATCGAAAATTCTACTCCAATTCTTCAGGCGGTATGAACCCTCTAAAACCCCAGCAAAACCCTAAGAGCCTTTAGAAACCCCCATGAAGGAGCATGCTACCGGAACCTGCAGCACCGCACTTCAAAGCCGGACGAATGCTTTCGCTTGCCGTCGCACGGCTCGTGCGCCTCAGCAGTCCGGCAAGAGCTTGAAGATCACTCGCCAGTGTTCCGCGTCCAAGTTGTCAACGTCAACCCTGCACATGGGCTTTGAAGGAGCCTTCTGAGGCCTCTTTGCCTTCGTCCGTGCAAACCATTCGTTCGTCGCTTTGCGGAACGCCGCATCCATGTTTTCGCACCTGAAAGGGCTGCATCTGCAGGTGGATCCCGTCTCATGTAACCTAAACTTCCCGCACCATAATTAAGCCAGAAAAGATAGAGAACGGAGAGGGGTCGGAAGCAAAACAGCCCCCCACCTAAGCGGTAGTTGCTTCGCGGCCGCCAGCACGGCAGGGCTTGAGGAGATCAGCGTGCCCTTTCGGACGTGGTAGGTTTGTTTGTTTACAGCGGGCCAAGGCTTGCAGGGAGCTTCGCTGTTCTGACGCAAGGCCCGCTTCATTTCGTAGGCAGTTCTGGCCAGCACCACCACATCAATTGCTGCGCGAGGTGGCGACAAGTTCCGGGTGGCCGTTGGCCGAGAGTCAACGGAGTCTCGACATTCTTTCCACGATTGGCCCGTCATGCGAAGACTGGCATTGCAGATAACGAATGTCGCCACGCTACAGTCCTCCTCTTTCAAGTAATCGTAGGATGCAGCAACCACATGGTCAGAAAACTGCTCCTCCAAGACGCTCAAGAGCTGCAACTGCTTGTCGGTTTCTCCGTTCTTGTCTGGCTTCCGGCCGAAGAGCTTGGTCTGGTAGTTTGCGAAGCTCTGTGGGATACCTGCGTGAGCTTTTGAGAGCCTGGACCCTGACTTACAACCTGAATCCGATCGGCCATTGAAGTGCTTTGAAAAGTACCATAGGATGGGGTATGCTATTACAGTATAGCTGTAAAATGAGAATAAGGGACCCTAAGCAACAGTACTAGGCAGTAGTTATTCCCACCCCGACATTAAGTCAGATTGTCACGATGCTCAAGCTCCTCTGAGATTCCTTAACGAAAGCACACGAGATCCCGTGCGAAACAAACGGGCTGCAGCTGCAAACTCAATTCAGGGTTTGGGGGTGCAGGAGGGGTGCACAATCCGAAAAACAGCAGCTTACACTGTGAAATCTTGTCTCGGTTTTGCCCCTAAACCCTAAACCCCTAAGCCCTAAACCCCTGAAGCTTGCAACACTTGGGAGTGCACCGACTTGGTTCGAACAGCTACCCAAAAAAAAACCTGAACCCTCATCCCCTAAACTGAACCGGCAGGTTCTTGGTGGTCTCCGCATAGTCGGACGCCATCCAATTTGCCGTGTCCCGGTGTAGCACCACCGCAGACAGGCAGGCGCCATTGCCTATGAAATGCCCAAAGCATTCCCAGTTCTCGCTGCCGAAGAGACTAAACGCTTCGCTGGACAAGAGCACAGTGGAAGAGGATTCAAGCTTCGACTTTGTGTAGTCCAAGGCCTTCTTTAGCTCCTGTCGCGTTCGCTTTTGCCCGGGAGCTTTCCCATCTCTCAGTTCAGCGCAGTCCGTATTCAGGATCGGTCGGGCGACATCTCGCCCCGTGGCCTTTGGGTCCCCACGAAATCCCAGGCTCACGCCCCACCTCTCCTGAAGCCACGCCTCGTTGCGCATCAGGAAGTCCTGAAAGGCCGAGGTGCCCGTCTTGTGTGGGCCCACGTGGATCACCAACCTGGGGCCCTCGCATACCTGGGCTCTTGTTAAGGGATTTGACTTTTAAGTTACCAAAAATACAAAAACCCTACTATTTACTGTAGATCCCTATTATCGTAACTGAAACTAAATCCCTTGACAAGAACCCAGATACTGCGTTCTGCGCATGGGAGCTCGTCAAGCTCCTCTCATTCATGGCCCGGACCATGTCTCTTACGCCCAGGACCGTCAGGGCCAGGGTGACGAGAAAGGCGATGGCGCCCAAAGCCAGGCGGGTGGGAACGGCCATGGGAGCCAGAAAGATCTCGACCACCCCAAACCTTCTGAAAGCGCTCTGCAAGACTCTAAGATGCTATTTTTACGGTTTAGGGTTTAGGGCTTAGGGCTTGGCGCTAAGGGGCTATGATCAGCCCAGGGCATGCAGATGAGTCTCTGGCCAGAATAGACTTCAGCTGCAGCCTAGAAATGGAGTAGACCGATCCCTCCCGACGGCTCTAAACAGTCTCTGGGACTGAAAGCTGCAGATTTTTATATACATCAACCAACCAAGCAACATGTCATATGCACTGCTGAATTCATGTCGAATCACATGGTCAACTCCGAACAGTGCTCAAACACCGGCAACTCCAAGCACTCTGCTAAGGGTTTGGGTGTCAGGAACCTCTGGTTTCGAGACCCCCCCTTTTTCGGATAATCTCCAGGTCTTCATAGTCTGATATGTTGTGCCACACCTAGCTGACCCCGAATACTGCGGATTCAATCACCAGTAGAATGTAGTTCAAAGCAAAGGCAATGTCTTCTGAAGGCTCAACCCATAGTCTAGGAACAATTAGAATAAAGTATGGGGGTACCTGTGCTCGACTTCACTATACCAGGAACCCTGTAGAAGCGTATTCTTCTTCTTCGGACTTTGGAGCCGCGTGCGGCGCGTGTAGAAGCGTCTTTGTAACTAATTTCGAAAACTCCTCAAAGCACTCGCCTAGCTACTGACCCCGTGCCTCCATGACGAGGCGCTGCGCATGCGCCTTCCCATGCACCTGATGACTCACCCGCAAGCAAAAACATCTGATGATGAAGTCTTTCTATGTTCTGCCGTCGCTGTCATGGTCATGGTCATACTGGTATAGGTTAGTGTTAACCTGATCTTCGTGAACATGCACATCCCATCCGAATCCTTAGTCTCAACATCATCGCTACTACCGAAACTATCATGACCGCACTTTGGCCGCCATATCCATCGACTTGCTCAGCATTGATGCATCATTCTTGCTCATCATAATGCTAGCCTGCCCTGTTCAGTATATCACCGCTTGCAATGACTACAGCAGCAGGACTGGTAGCATAACGTCCTTTTCACTTTACACCGACATCCCGATATGCAGTGTGAACCATTGGGAGGAAATGGAATTCAAGTTAGCTCCGTCGATCGCGGAGTCCTGCGAACGTCAACCCGAAACCCTCAATCGGCAAATCATTACACCGTACAAACCCTAAATCGTTCGACCTTCAACCATGACCGTACAATCCCTAAATCGTTCAATCTCAGACCATTAAACCCTAGCAAGATTCACCTCGAAGGTGCGAAGAGGATCTCGAAGCGTCAGGGCGAAAACGTCGTCGTCCCTTAGTTTTGGGCCCGGACGCGCGAGCACAAGGACGGGTCGTGTCGTGCGGGGCGCTAGGGGTTTAAGGGTTGGGAGCTTCCGTCGTCGTCGTCGTCGTCGTAGTAGTAGTAGTAGTAGTCGTAGCAGCAGTAGTAGTAGCAGTAGTATTTGCAGTTGTAGTTGTAGTTGTAGTTGTAGTTGTAGTTGTTGTTGTTGTTGCTGTTGTTGTAGTAATCAGTAGTAGTAGTAGTAGTAGTAGTTGTAGTTGTAGTTGTTGTTGTTGCAGTAGTAGTAGTGGTGGTACTAGTAGTAGTAGCAGGAGTAGTAGTAGTAGTAGTAGTAGTCGTAGTAGTCGTAGTAGTCGTAGTAGTCGTAGTAGTAGTAGTAGTAGTAGTAGGAGCAGCAGCAGCAGCAGTAATAGTAGTAGTAGTCGTCGTCGTAGTAGTAGTTGTTGTAGTTGTTGTTGTTGCTGTTGTTGTTGTTGTAATCAGCAGAGCCGCTACGGATCAGACTGGCAGGGTAGCTCTCGTGGCTTTCGAACATGCCTTGGGCTCC